AATTTCATTCACTAGATCATCATGTGTAGTATTTGCATGCATAAAGTATAATCTATTCATGTTGTATATAGCGAATGATTGAATACATTCAAAACCAAGAAGATGAGAAAAAGCACTTGCTAGAAAAGGGTGGTAAGCCTTGAATCGGATCATTAAGTATATATTAATTATTCACTTTTAATTATGTGCATGCAGTAACTCTGAATCAAAAAGCTGCAGGCACTTTTGAGAAAAGAAGATACATCACAAAGAGGAAAAGGTGGTATCAGAAGGTAAAGAAATAATTACAGAACTGATGTGTCATTTTCATTCTTTTATGTAGTGTTGCATTGTATTATAGCATAATAGCGAAAATCATCAAAACATTAGTAAAGCACTTTTTTGAGGTGTATGATGCTTTACTGAGGTGTATGAATTTTGAGGTGCATGAATTAGTGTGCACTTTTAGAGGTGTATGAATCATGTGATTTAAATATTTTTCTATAAACTTTGAAAAAAACAACTATAAAAAGAAACAGCTACAAAATAATCTCTGACACTAAAACTATTATATCTACAGGTCTAAAGTTTATGATGATAATTAATGTTCCGTATCCAAAAATCAGTTGAAGATGATGATGCTTCTTCTTTTAGCGAGTACAAACTGAGCAGGTTATAGCAATATTGGCATTGTAAGGACCACAGGGCATTCCCCTGTTGCAAACTGGTGTCACAAAGTATAGCAGTGCACCATTAGTGTTGCGATTGCTGCCATGAATCTTCTCTCCAGCTTCATCAATGCATTCAAAGACTCTATTATGAGGATGGCCTCTGTGATCTGCCATCAAGTAACCTCTATATTCCTGGGTCCATGAGTCTGGACAGGTGATCCTACCAGGCAACTGCATTTTAGTGGATTTGTCAGGAACATAACACACAGCACAAGGGACGTTCCAGTCGTGGTTTCTCCAGATCCTGTTATGTGATTCATACTCTGTTCCATACATGAATGAATAGTGTCCAGGGTTTTGATGGCTGAGATGTCCCACACCACTGGTTGGCATACACAAGAGGTTTGCTCCTCCTCCATGCTGATTAAATCCACTGCCTCCAGTGTATCCAGCATAGACTAGCTCTGCTCCACTACGACAATGTGTCCTTCCCCAACGAGTGTACACCACACCACTCCCACTGTCAGGAGAGAGAGTGATGGTAAACTTCTTTCCTTGCCCTATTTTTAGCTGAATGGATTGCTCTGCAACTAAAAATAAAAATTTAAGACACTTAATAGTATCATCCTTATGTTATGGAACATATAAATTAAAGTGAATCATACCTTCTTTGTCTCCATCAGCCTGAGTTGCTTCTGCTTTCAGACCAACATCTATAAGTTATTTTGAAATCATTCATGAGAAATTCATTAGTCATTACCTTGCTTTGTAGGCTCAGTATCAGTTTCATCACCTTTAAAATCTATATATTGAAAGATAAGTACATGCAATATTAAATCAATGGTGCAACTTACCATTGTCATTGTTAATTTGTGTTTCTCCATCAAACTGTTTGCCATCACTTATTTCTTCAGTGTTACCATTATCAGGGATTATATCAGTCGACTCTATTGTTATAAAGAATAAAATGACTCCAGCATACATGCAATGGATACTTTTACCATCGGTTGCGATGCGACAATTAATACTTTCCACCAGCAATACAAGAAAAGCAAGCAACAAGATGTTCTTCATAGTGAGATTCAACTAATACCTGCTTTTGATATGCTGGAACTGTGTTGAATCATCCTTTATATACAAGCTCTGCTTCCTGAATAATACATTCCAGCATAACGCCCACTCACATAATAAGCTTATCTAGTTATTAATAGTTTATTAATAAACATTAATTAGAATTATCTTCATTTCAGCCATATTTTCCTCGTGAAATTCAATTTCTCCCTCTCTTTCTGTCTTCCTTCCTAATCTTATTATGTCAGAAGATTCAAAGGTACATCTAGTGATATGATACTATAATACTTTGTTGTTTTTAGCCCGATGTAAAGCCAGATGCGGCAGGATCTGGAGAACACATCAATCTCAAAGTAACGGGGCAGGTTAGAACTTACCTTCTTGCTGCTTTCTCTTTTAAGTACATATATTGTGTCTAGTACATTGTATGATAGTGTTAATTAATATAAACCACACCTTTTCAGAATTTAGCATAATTATGTTGTTCCTTTTTTGTTTAATTTTGATGTTTTCTCTCTCTTCTCAAGGATGGCTCAGTAGTACATTTCAAGATAAAGAAGAACACTTAGTTCAAGAAGCTAATGACGGCTTATTGTGACAGACAGGGCTATCAAAGGAATGCCATTAGGTTCATATTCGATGGTACACAGATACAAGAGGATCAAACGCCAATTGATGTAAGAGGAGGAGGGAAATATACAGCTGCAATGAATAGTTGGGAATTAATATTGCCTATTTGTCTTTGTATTTACTTAATGACACTCAAGTGCTAAACCGTCTGTAAGATTAATAAATTTAATAAAACACCAGCTGTAATTTCCGCCCATAATTATTACAAATATTTGAACAGTTCTTTCTCTCCCTCCCAATAGTTGGATATGGAAGACGAGGATACCATAGAAGTGTTCCAGGCGCAAACAGGAGGGGGCAGAGTTTATTAATAGCTATACCTCTAAGCTCATTCTCATCTCCCTCTCTCTCTTTCTCTCTTTCTTTGAAATCTCAACGAAACACCAAAACAGTATATGAACTTGCATATACTGTCCTCAAGGTGTTTATTTGGTAAAACTGTGTCGTGATGGCCTTTGGCAGACCATACTAGTCGATGACTATTTCCCTGTTACTGCAGATCTTTGGAACAATCAACTAGTTTTCTCAAAAGTAAGTAACAGCATAAACCTCTTACAATCTTACATTACCTCTTTCTTCTTGTTCTTTCTCTTCTTCAAGGCTCGTAGAGGGCAGCTATGGGTTCCACTGATGGAGAAAGCAATGGCTAAGATGTATGGATCATACGAATCTCTTGATGGTGGTACCATCATTAGTGGTCTCTCAGTATTGACTGGGTTTCCTTGTGATGTGATACACTTAAGAGCTCATCATGTAGGTACTATAACTGCAGACTTAAATGTCCTTTAAATGTGTTTGAAGATTTAATCTTATTGCATATAATGATTAATATACCGTAGGTCGGGATATATTCGCGGCTGCAATTATTCGCGGTCATAAAAAATTTTCAATTAAAAACCATGGAAACCGAGGTGTTATTTTAATTGAAAACGGCGCGATAGTGAAGAAAAGCACCTTGCTGCAGTGTTCTTGAGCTGTTGTTCTTCTTGTGTTACTAAGCCTTGGGCTCTTTGGAGCTGCTTTACCGGTTCTTTTCAGAACTAGTGCCTCGCCGTATTTTGGGGCTCTCCACCCATTCTAGTTAGTGTTTATTGACTTGGGCGTGGTTTATTATCACCAGCGCTGCAGCACGCGGACCAGCAACAATTTGCAGCAAAGAGGCTGAAAGAGCTCTGAGGTAGCGGTCCATACAAGAAGTTAACAGATAGAGAAGGACTCGCTATTGGTGAATGGCTCCACTATGGCTGCTAAAGAACAGATGAATAGCTGAACACTAAACACGTGGTCTTAATTGTCATAGCAACGCTCTAACAGTTTCCATGGTTTTTAATTGAATTTTTTATGACCGCGAATAATTGCAGCCGCGAATATATCCCGACCTACGGTATACTTTTTTATGTTATGTATGCGTGTAGATGAGGAAGTTGAGCAAGAGCTCGTGTGGGCTAAACTCCTGAGTTTTAAGGAGTCCAAGTATGAACTTTTGCTGTTTTAAAAATTTGAAATTTAAACAATCCATTTACGTATTTATGACAGGTTTCCAATGGCAGTTTGTAGCAGTCCAGTTGATCCCACTGAATCCATTGATACAGAACTTGGTATTCAGCCATTTCATGCTTATTCTATATTAGACATAAAGCAGATTGGAACAGAAAGGTAGGGTACATGTGTACATTCAAGCATCATTCAATTATTTTTTGTGTTATTCTTTTAGTGTTGTAGTGTTGAGAGATCCATGGGGTCACCGTGGGCACTAAACCAGGTAGGGAATGGAGAGAATCTGAACCTGGAACTTTCATGATCGGATCAAACCATCTCTTCAAGTTAGTCGAAAAGCAGGAATTCATTTAGAAAGTCCTAAATAGCATTTTTGGTTGCCTGCCGAAAAATTGGCAAAATGTTTATTATGTATGGACTACGCAAGACTAGGACTATGCAGCATGTACAGTCAATCCACAGTTTTCCGAATAATACTTAAAACATCCTTCATTTATTTATAAAAAGATTGAGATTATGATTATTTTGCTTATAGCTCTATTGTTTTTCCTCGTCTTTTCCTTCTTTCTTCCCTGTAAACTTTTGCTCAGATACTTTTCTCATGTTGATGTGTGCTACTATCATTCTGACTGGCATAGCATTCGTGTCAAAGGTCAATTCCCACATCATGCCCCATCACATCTTGAAGTACTCACTTTTCAAACCTTTGAACCAACAGAGGTCAAAATATGCCTCTATCAGCCCTCATACCGGTAGCATAATAATACATGCATTATTCAGTGGGTTTGATTTTGTGAGCATTGCACTATAATAGTTGCTATGATTCTAAATGGTATTATACTTTTACAGAAGTGTATGTATGTTTTATTATAAGAGTTATGTATTTTATAGAGGCTGTAGGGAAGAGAGTTATAAGAAGGTGGATATATTGCTGCTACTGGTACGGTATGATGACAGAGGAGGATCACTGGATAAACTTGAAGGATCACTACCATTCCCTTTAGAATGTATTGCCACTAGCAAACATAACATGACCTCAGTGGTCACCTGTTCTGCAATTCTTAATCCAGGAAGGTACTTTAGTATAGGCCAAATTTCGCCAAAAATGAAAATTGGAGAATTCTCAATTTTTTGCAATTTTTCTATGCATATAACAGTAACTTCTATTTGTATATAGGTATTCTGTTATACCATTGAGTTTTAAGAATTGGCATGCAACTTTGTCACACGAGAGTCCTGTCCCATATGTCATAGGATTGTTTTCTGCTAAAGTGATTGAATGGGTTGAGCGTGCACCCACTAAACCAGGGTATCTGTCTGAATCACTGTTCCTGTTGGCAAGGAAGGAAGGGACACTCAGAAGTGTAAGTTATTTTTTGTACTCATACAGTAGTATTCTATTCAATTTTATCTTTCGTTGCTTAGTTTAATCATCACTTAAAGTTGTACGATGTTCATATTTCTCGTTCCCTTTGGTTTGTTGTGATTGAGAATCATGACAAGTTCTACCACTACAGAATATCCATAGACTTTACTGGCACAATCAATCTCAAACTATCAAGAAATGGTCTTCAGATAGATGACTACATACCACCTCAGCATAGGTTAGATTATTAACTATTAAGTGATTGATATTATTATCAATATATGTGATCTAATTACAGGCAAGTTTTGGTGGTCATTTTTCCCGAAGATGAGCAAAATGTGATTCACAGGTATCAGTATAGCATCAAGTCTCAGCCATGTATGCACAATCCTAATGGAGAGTGGGGATCATTCATGAGCCCTTCACCGACTGATGCTAACAGAGAGCTGCATTCACCTAGACATCTTGTGTAGTTTAACTGTTATAAAAAGAAGCAGTACCACTATTTTATGATTTTATTGCATAAAGATTCTATCTGATTAATTTTGATATGTGAAACTTATTTTTGATTGTTAAAGTTCTCATTCACTATATATTTGTATTCACGGTCAATGAATCAAATTGCAGTGATTATTCATAATCAACACTTGTTTGTTCTGAGCCTCGCCCAAGCTTGTTTCTTAATTCTCATCTTTATATTAAAATGTAAGCTTTCAATATTAAAGTTATATTATTATCTGATGAAACTTGTTAGGTCAAGCAAGTCTAGTGACAATAATGTGAAGCAAGAGGTAATGACAATTTCATTCACTAGATCATCATGTGTAGTATTTGCATGCATAAAGTATAATCTATTCATGTTGTATATAGCGAATGATTGAATACATTCAAAACCAAGAAGATGAGAAAAAGCACTTGCTAGAAAAGGGTGGTAAGCCTTGAATCGGATCATTAAGTATATATTAATTATTCACTTTTAATTATGTGCATGCAGTAACTCTGAATCAAAAAGCTGCAGGCAC